CAGTCATTTTAGGGAGAGATAGTCTCCACAAGTCTGACTCAGGTATTTCAGTAAACAGGCATTCCAGAGAGTGCAATGGAAGGAGAGGATGAAGGGGTGTAAGGTCAGAAGAGGGACGGGACTGCCATGGTTGGGTCTGAGGGAGCAGGGCGTGGTGGTCAGGGAGGGCAGCTTCAGTCCAGACTCTATGTGTGGCACATAGAATCCCAGAATGCAACAGTCACCCCCTTCACTGGAACAAAGGTGATGCTGTTTATCAGTAAGGAAGAGTGAGTGAGAAGTAGCAGAGAGGGGCTTAGGGCAGATGAGGAGACCCTAGCCCTGCCTGATGGCCAAGACAGTATCTGTGAAATGCTTGGTATGGGACTCTGTCCTTCTTGGTGGAGATGAAAGCCCTGTCCCTTCATGAGGGCAGGGCAGACCTGGGGAGAGGGGAGAGAGGAAGGTCTCCAAGTTTTCTTCGGACCCTCTTCAGTCTCTTGGGGCTTTGAGAGAGAAGATGGAAGATGTCAACCTCTCTTCAGATTACTGAAAGGAGAAAAGACCCTGGAAAGAAGTCAACGTGAACAGAGCTGGCTGTCTCCACATCCGTCTGCCCAGCTTGCCACACTGGAGACTTCAGGGAGCTTTCTCGAGTGAAATCTGGGACTTTCCCGTTGGGAGCAAGGTAATTCAGCTCAGCCAGTGAGCTTTGAGATTGGGGCTACGTTTGGAGTAGTGAGTACAGAGTAATGAGGAGTAAGGCTCTGACCCTCTGACGTCCATCTTCTTCCTTTATCATATGGGCCAAAAACAGCCAGAGGGAATGTGGTGCAAAGGACAGTTCTGAGAGGGCTAAGGAAGGGGGAGGGGGGATGGGCCACATGAGGCTGCTGGGGGTCAGGGGAGGGGACTCTGCAGGGGGCCAGTGACAGGGACTTGTCGCCGGTCAATCAGACAGACAAGCAACAAGATTGATTAAGAGATTACTGTTTGCCAGGCTTTCTGCTAAGCACTGAGGATTCAGAGAAAGGCGAAAGGGGTTCACTTCAACATATCCACCCCCAGGCTAACTCTCCCATCTTCCAAATCCCTTCCTCTTAAACAAGTGATGGGCGAGGCAGAGCCAAGATGGCAAAGTAAAGGCAAGGACTCACCTGAGCTCTCCCCCAAACCCCTCCAAAGACCTTTAAACAAGGACTCTAAACAAATTCTAGAGCAGTAGCACCCACAAAAAGACGAAGCGAAACAATTTTCTAGCCAAAGACGACTTAGAAGGTCAGCAGGAAAGGTCTGTTACACCAGGGTGAGAGTGGAGAGCAGTCCAGCCCGGGCCCTGCCGGCATGGGCTGGCCTCAGCAAGCCCGGAGCAGGCCTGGGCAGCTGCTGCTTCCGGAGCTCTCAGCCCACAGCCGTAAAGGGGCCAAACAACCGGTCAGAAGGAGATTAAAGGGGTCTCTTTGCTAGCACCGAGGCAGGACTCTGTTGCTCTGTCCACAGTTGGATCTGGGTCAGAGCCCTGGGTGGCGGTCGCAGGGTGAGAAGGAGCACCAGCATGACAGAGCTTGTGGGCCACAGTGGAGGGGGGACCCTCGTCATAGTTCCAGGGCAGAAAAGAGTGCTTGTGGTCACTCACAGACCAGAACACAGGCCAGGAGAGTAGAAAACACTTCTCCTTAGATCATGCTACCTTGAAAGAACTGAAAATTTACGAGTCCCTAGAAGTATCTCTAAAAACAACTGCACAGAACCCAGAAGCTTGGGACAGTGCACCCTCCACTCTGGAAGCAGAGCTCTACTTTAACAAAAAGTCAAAAGTCAAGTAATAGGTTGGGAAAGTAAGGAAACAATGGGAAAAAAAAAAACTCTGACTATAGAAAGTTATTATGGTGACGAGGAAGATCAAGACACAAACTCGGAAGACAACGAAGCCAAAGCTCCTACATCCAAAGCCTCCAAAAAAAATATGAATTGGTCTCAGGCCATGGAAGAGCTCAAAGAGGATTTTGAAAAGCAAGTAAGAGAAGTAGAGGAAAAATTGGGAAGAGAAATGAGAGTGATGCAAGAAAATCATGAAAAACAAGTCAAAAGTTTGGTAAAGGAAAAAAAATACTGAAGAAAATGATGCCTTAAAAAATGGACTAGGGGAATAGCTAGGTGGCACAGTAGATAGAGCACCAGCCCTGAAGTCAGGAGGCCCTGAGTTCAAATCTGGTCTCAGACACATAACACTCACTAGCTGTGTGACTCTGGGCAAGTCACTTAATCCCAGTTGCCTCACCAAACAACAATGAGAAGAAGAAGAAGAAGAAAAGAAAAGAAAAGAAAAATAGACTAGGCCAAATAGTGAAAGAGGTACAAAAAGTGAATGAGGAGAAGAATACCTTAAAAAGCAGAATTGGCCAAATGGAAAAAGAGACACAAAAAAATCACTGAAGAAAATAATTCCTTAAAAATTAGAATTACGCAAATGGAAGCTAATGACTTTATGAGAATCAAGAAACAATAAAACAAAACCAAAAGAATGAAAAAATAGAAAACAATATCTCATTGGAAAAACAACTGACCTGGAAAACAAATCCAGGAGAGATAATTTTAAAATTATTGGATAACTTGAAAGTCATGATAAAAAAAAAAAAAAAGAGAGAGCCTAGACATCATCTTTCAAGATATTATCAAGGAAAACTGACCTGTTTTTCTAGAACCAAAGGGTAAAATAAAAATTGAAAGAATCCACTAATCACCTCCTGAAAGAGAGATCCAAAAATGAAAACTCCCAGAAATATTATAGCCAAATCCCAGAGTTCCCAGGTCAAAGAGAAAATATTGCAAGCAGCCAGAAAGAAACAATTCAAGTATCGTGGAGCTACAGTCAGGATAACACAAGATTTAGCAGCTTTTACATTAAAGGATCAAAGGGCTTGGAATATGATATTTCTGGGGGGCAAAGGAGCTAGGATTACAACCAAGAATCACCTACTCAGCAAAACTGAGAATAATCCTCCTGGAGGAAAAATGGATATTCAATGAAATAGAGGACTTTCAGGCATTCTTGATGAAAAGACCAGAGCTGAATAGAAAATTTGACTGTTGACTTTCAAATACAAGACTCAAGAGAATTATAAAAAGGTAAACAGGAAGGGGAAATCATAAAGGACTTAATAAGGTTACACTGTTTACATTCCTACATGGGAAGGTGGCACATGTAACTCGTAAGACCTTTCTCATTGTTAGGGTAGTAGAAGGAGTATATATAGACATAAGGCACAGGTGTGAGTTGGATATGAAGGGATATCTTTAAAAAAATAAAATTACGGGGTGAGAGAGGAATGTGCTGGAAGAAAGGGAAAGGGAGAGGTAGAATGGGGTAAATTATCCCACATAAAGGAGGCAAGAAAAAGCTTTCACAGTGGAGGGAGAGAGGAGGGAAGCAATGGGGAGCGAGCAAATCTTACTGTCAGCAGCATTGGCCCAAACACAGAACATACTCACTCGATTGGGTATAGAAATCATCTCACTCTACAGGAAAGAAGGAAGGCGGTAACAGAAGGGGGGAAGGTGATGATAGAAGGGAGAGCAGATTGGGGGAAGGGGCAGTCAGAAGCAAAATACTTTTGAGGAGGGACAGAGTGAAAGGAGAGAGAGAATAGAATAAATGGATGGATAGGATGGAGAGAAATACAGTTAGCAATAGTAACAGTGAAAAAAATTTTTTTGAAGTTTCTCTGATAAAGGCCTCCTTTCTCAAACATAGAGAGAACTGAGTTAAATTTATATTTTAAAAAAAGAGCTATTCCCCAATCGATAAATGATCAAAAGATATGAAGAGTTTTCAAATGAAGTAATCAAATCTATCTATAGCCATATGAAAAAATGTTCTAACTCACTATGGACTGAATTAAAAGAATTCTGAGGTACTACCTCATACCTATTAGATTGGCTAATAGGACAGAAAAGGCAAATGACAAATGCTGGAGGAGACGTGGGAAAAATGAGGCATTAATACATTGTTGGTAGAGTTGTGAACTGATCCAACCATTCTGGAGAGCAATTGAGAACTATGCCCAAAGGGCTATAAAACCACGCATGCCCTTTGACTTAGCAATACCACTACTAGATCTGCATCCCAAAGAGATTAAAAAACGGAAAGGAAAAGGCCCTCTATGTACAAAAATATTTATAGCATCTCTTTCGTGGGGGCAAAGAACTGGAAATTGATGGCCATTAACTGGGGAATGGCCGACTGACCATTGTGACATATGATTGGGATGGAATATCACTGTGCTATAAGAAAGGATGAGCAGGATGCTCTCAGAAAAACAGGGGAAGACTTCGGTGAGCTGATGCAAAGCGAAATGTACTGTGTACAAAGTAACAGCGATAATGTGAAATGATCAGCTGTGAATGACCTCGCTCTTCTCAGCAATACAGTGATTCAAGACAACTCTGAAGGACTGATGATGAAAAATGCTGTCCATCCCCAGATTTGGGGAACTGATGGTGTCTGGGTACAGATTGAAGCAGACATTTTTTACTTTATTTTTCTTGAAGGTTTTTTTTTTTTTGGTCTATTATGGAAATGTTTTGCATGACTACATATGTATAACCTATCTTGAATTGCCTGCCTTCTCAATGAGGGGGGTGGGGATGGAGGAAGGGAGTGAATTTGGAATTGCAAGTGTAAAAATTGTTTTTACATGTAACTGGGGAAAAATACTACATAAACAAGGGATGGGAGAGAGCCCCTGAAATGACGGCCTCTGCGATGGGGGTGGGGGCTGAGCCCTCTCATCCAGGACTCCAGGGTTCCGTGTCCTAGGAGGAGGGAGGGCAGAGGCAGAGGCAGAGTTTCCATCCAGGCCCTGAGGCTGGAGAGGAATGAGGTCCAGGACCTGTCAGACAGCTCTAAGGGGTGGGGCCTTTTGCCCAAAGTGGAGGAGGAGGAGGAGGAGGAGGAGGAGGAGGAGGAGGGGATTTTCAGAGAAGCTCCAACACCCTGCTCAGGGGGTGGGGCTCCCAAAACAAGTAAAAGGCTCCCCTGGCTAGGCCTGCTCATCGGTGCTCCCCAGGGCCCTGCCGAAAAACCCCAAGATGTTGCTTTCCCTGCTGGTGCTCTGTGTCACTTCTCTGACCCTGCCCTTGACCCATGGAGACGAGGGGGGCAGCCCTGAGAGCCGGCCTCCTCACACAGGGAACATGCTGGGTGCCCGGACGCCACTGTCCACCTCAAACCCAGAGGTGAAGAGGGTCACCCAGTATGCTGTGGAAACCTTCAACGAGGGAAGCAACAGCGTGTACTACTTCCGAGACACCAGAATCATCAAAGCCGAGAGGCAGGTGAGAAGGCAGAGCCGAGTGGGGCACCATGCCAGGTGGGGAGGGCCAGGGTCCGCGTGGACACAGCGGGTCTGGGAGGCTTGGTGGGAACGAGGCCCCGCCTGGAGAGCAAAGCTCTGGGAGCAGAAGGAGGCCCCCAAGTCAGCTGTGCTCTCACGCCTTTCCCAGAGGCCCCAGAGGGAGGTGGGCTGCTGTATGGTCTGATGGGTCTGACATTGGGCCTCCAGGGTTCTCAGCTGGGTTTGTCAGGCTCCCCTCGAGGTTTCAAGGCTTTTGCCAGGTCTGTCTGTGGGCCTTGGAGGTTTCCATCTGGGTGTTTTTTCTCTCAGCCCCTTTGTGCCTCTCTGTCCCTTTTGGGGCAGACTTGTAAGAGCGATAGGGTTGTGGGAACCCTGGAGAAGGGTCTGCAGGATGCCTTGACTAAGAACAGCATTGTTGGAGGAGTTGTGGGGAGGGAAGAGAAAGCTTGAGGCTCCATGAGGGATAAACTTTAAATCCTTAGAAAGATCCAAAATGGGCTGTAGAGGCTAGTGGACTTCCTGTTGGAAGGGTCTAGGAGGGGTTCTAATTCACTTATGGCTTGGACCCAATGGCCTTGGAGGGGTCCCTTCCAGTGTGGGGAATGGGTGGTGCTTGTTGGCTAGGCAGTCAGCCCCATGCCTGACTGAGGGAGGGAATGCTGTGTCTAGCTTGTGTCTGGCGTCAAATACTACCTGACTGTGGAGATGGGGAGCACGGAGTGTCGGAAGGGCTCGGCTGCTCTCGAGACAGTGGGCTTGGCTGGCTGCCCCTTTTCCACAGAAGAAGAGGTAAGAACCACGAAGGGGCCCAAGTTGGGGTTCTGTCTCTCTAAGCCCATCCTGTTTCCAGGGGCAAACCCTTGG